GATATGTGTATATATCCTATATATATAGAGATATTTAGTTAGTAGCTAAATTTGTTGTACTGGGGAGTGTGGCAGTACTACGCTTGCCCTGCGACAGTGCCGCGTGTGGACTGTGACAGTGCCGCATGTGGACTGCGACAGTGCCGCACTTTGAATTTTAACTAGAAATTCGGCCCATATTAGGTGTTATCGTGGGGGCCCATCTTTTCTACCTATTTTACCTAGCCCTAGGTAACCCTCTCCTCTCTTCTCCTCCACGCGCGCACAGGTGACACTATCGCTCTGTCCAACCATGCTGCCACCTCCAGCATTGTCGTGGCCTGCTGCTGTTCTTCTACGTCATCATCAGCAGCAGCCTAGTTCATGGACGGAGCCAATTAATCTCTTTCCTCAATCCATGAAAACCAAGATGGCCTCCAGAGGTGATGATGACCAGAGGGGGAAGAGGAAGATGACAGAGCCTCGGGATAAGCAAATGCCTCGTCGTGGTCATGGCAGGACCACAGGGGGTAGCAGCAGTGCAGCAGGCAGAGATGTTGCTAGAGACAGGGGGAGGAGAGATCAGATGATCTAGGATGAGGAGAATTTGGAGAGGGTTGGCCGCACTATTCCTCCAAGTGCTTGCCCAGATACTCCACCTCATCTTGAGGAGTTTGATAGAAGCTACGTCAGAGAGTATTCTGATGATGTAGTCATGAGGCGTCCTATTGACACACGTGCTCATCCCGTGCTCTACTATGCGAGAAAGCTAAAGATGGTGGAGGAAGCAAGTGAGAACAATCCCTATGAGCAGTCAAAGGATTTGGAGATAGACTACAGGTTTTGGAATGAGTTTCATTCCAACTTCTATGCATCCGTGAACTTCAACTCCAAGAAATCCAAAGTTGTCAATATGCAGTATATTGATTGGGAGTAGATGAAGGAAAAGAATGAGCCAGAATTCAATAAGGTGATCAAGGCTTGTGAGTTGTTTGGCCTCACTGATATTATGAGTTTTAGATATAATTGGATGAGGAAGTGCTAGCCCAATTCCATGCCACTTTCTTCTATAGTATCTACACTGATGAGATTCATTGGATGACTGAGGGACGGCGTTATAGAGTTGATTTTGTGACTTTCAGCCGGATCCTTGGTTTTGGAGAGGAGGAGCGGGGCTTCACTTATATTCATGATGAGGCTAGAGTTGAGATCTGTGATATCACCTATATGTGGATTGACAGGAGAAGTGCAGGTGGGAAAGTCAGTGGCCTAAAGAGCTATTATTACATTCTGAATAATTTGATCAAGCACACTATCAATCCCAATGATGGAGCAGCCTCTGATCTTAATGGCTATGTCAGGAATGTACTTGCTAGATTTGTTCCTAGAGGTGACAAGTTTAATGTCCCTCGCTTCATATGGCGTGAGCTGAGGAACACCATAGAGGATGGGAGAAAAGGGATACCCTATGCCCCCTATCTCATGTTTATGATTGAGAGGGTCACTGGCAACAGATTTGAGAAAGATGGTCTTCACTCCATCTACAAAATTGAGAAGACCCGAGGGGTAGGTGCTAGCAGGGCAGTGAGACGCTCTCCATCTGTTGAGGACATGCCTGAGTCATCCCGATCTAGGCCTCGCAAGGAAAAGAAGATAGAAAAATTTGGGAAGTGGATCAAGGCCATCTTCACCACATGCACCTATGCAGCGAGGACCACATATCAGGACCAGTTGGAGAACCGTGAAGCCAACCGAGAGGCTTGAGAGCATGCAGGGCTGCCACCTCTTTCTCCAGTTTAGTCACCGCCAAAGTTTGATGACCTCCTAGCCTATCCGACATAGATTCAGAGGATGAGGAGGAGGAGGAGGAGGAATAGGAGCAGCCAGAGCTTAATCCTCATACTAGTTTGAGGACCACTTTGCAGTCCATGAGGAGGAGCACTAGGCGTGAGCACCAAACTTCGACCACTCATCTCCAAGGGAGGGCGATGGTGTCTTCTTCTTCCTCCTCTGACGACGATGATAATGATGATGGTGGAGAGGAGGACGTTGCAGGTGCTAGTGGAGCTGCTGGTGGGGATGATATTGATTGAAAGTGCAATCAAGCCCTAATTATGGGTTTTAGTGATAATGACCACGCAATTAGAGAACTAATAAGATTTATTGAGATGACAAGCAGGGTATTTATATCCAAGGATGCTACACAAAACAGAGGAGCCCCAATTACAAATGTAGATGGCTTCAAACTCAAAGGAGGTTTAAATTCTTTTATATTTTGAATTTGAGTATAGGAAAAGCCATACTATAAAGGGGGCACAATGCTTAAGCTAATATGTGCTACCTAGTGCTTAAACAACCACATGCATCCTCAGATTCATAGCCAAGACAGTCTACACTTCAGTATTACCCTTGCTGTCTTGCGTGGTGTGGCACTGCCGCACTTGAAGAGAGGCACTACCGGACTTGAGTCGCGGCATAAGGAAGTTAGCACCCATGCTGACTTCCCTGGATGGATCAAGACGCATTAAAATGTCTCGCCCGACCCCTTGGGTGCGGGCTCCATCTCGCCTGACCCCTTGGGTGCGGGCTCCATCTCACCCGACCCCAAAGTTGCGGGCTTCATCTCGCCTAACCTCGAGGCCACGGGCTCTGTTTTGCTCGACCCCTTGGGTGCGGTGACCGTTGGGGGCTGGGGGTATATATACCTTTCCCCTTCCTCCCCAATGGCTATCTGCCCCTTCTTCTTCACTTCAACACGCTCAAAACAGATCAGGAGCTCTCTCTCTCTCTCCATCCATTGTTGACCTCAAGCCCCAAGCAAATCCATTGATTTCCCCATCAATCCTTGGAGGAAAAGGGTCCAAAACTCGATTAGAGAGTAGCTCCATTGATTCCCCCAACTCTAAAGAGCACTTGGTTCACGTTTTAGCCAGCGGTTGTGTTTGTTACTCTTGGAGCTTGGCTCCTAGCCGGCTAGAGCGTCCCCCGTGGAGCTTGCCAACTTGTGTGGTAGCCTCGGGAGGTTTGTAACCATCTCTTGAAGTTAGTAAACTCACCCCTTATCTTAAGAGTTAAGTCTCTTGATTTGAGAACGAGGAAGGGTTGGAAAGCCCTAAGCCTTCGTGGCTAACCTGAACAACATGGAGGTAGGCAAGCCTTGGTGGCGAGCCAAACTACGGAATAAATCATTGTGTCACTTGTGCTTGATTTACATTACTTGCATGATATATTATGGTTGAGGTGATTTCTAGGGTTTCTAATCAATCTACTTGTGTGTGGTGTTCCTACCACTTCTAGCTCTTGATCAGTGATTGTCATACCTACAGTAAGCTAGGAAATTTCTCTGATCTAAGTTTTCTTTCATAGATTTTGAACTATGATTCGAAGTTGTCTGTAGATGCGGCAGTGCCGCTGTTCTGGCCTGGCAGTGCCGCCCTCCAGAGCGGCAGTGCCGCTGGGTGAATTTGATAAAAGTTTGAGTGTTTGTTTTGACAGACCTATTCACCCTCTAGGCCAACCAGAGATCCTACAGTACCCTTACTAGTATGAGTTGGTCAATCAATGCTTAGCTATGCTTAGACAGATTGAAGTCGAGTGATTTCCTATCACCTGTGAGATATAGGTGGATACTTGGTCACGGTTGGCTATATTTGCTATCATGGAAAATAACCATGTGGTGATATATAAATGGAGACTAGATAGGATCTTATATGTTGATGGTGATAGGTTAACTTATGTTGATCTCGTCCGTGTCGATTAAGGGCCGTACCGTTGTTGGACCTTGCTTGAGATTGAATATCGCCTTTCACTTAGCTAGCCAGATAAGTCGTTCCGACCGCAAAACCGAGTAGCTCAATTGGGGCTGGGAGTTGTTATGTATGGTGTGCACACCGGAGGGGAGGATGTATGTGTGGGGACATGGAAGGACCTTGGGAAGACCATTGTCTAAACATCCTAGCTTTGGGTTGGTCCCTGAGTGTGCGGCTCAGATCAAACCAATGATTGTTCCCAAATTGTACCAAAGGTGACCTAAGGTTGCCTTCGTGCAGTATGCCTAGGTTTGTGTTATGGATTTCTGCCCAGCTGGTTGCAATCGATTCAAATAGCCATCTCTCCTAGATAGTGAGAAACTTGGTCACTGTCCAGCATTCGTAGTAACACTTGATGGAACATGATGGTTATGCTGATTATATGATAAACTGGATATGGTTACTATTGTGATGCTTATTAATCAAGTGATTGCTATAGAATAGGTGCAAACTTAGCTTTAAATAACTTCACTAAACTTGATGCTAAACTATTAACTAAACTATTGAAAGTAAGGACTTTTGCTAGTGATTCTCTTTTGCAAAGTTATGCTATCCAACTAGCTCCACTAGATAAGCCTTGCATATCCCTGAGAGTCTTTTATTACTCTCATGTCGGGTAAGTCTAGCTGAGTACATTCGAGTACTCAGGGTTTTATCCCACCATGTTGCATGTGAAGTTCTTGGCCTACTGAAGTTGGTGGCTAAGTGCCGGTGGGCTCGGCGACTATGTATTTGTTTCTCATCTATATGCTTTTGTTGGAGGATGTCAATTAAGCTAGCAATGTAATTCAACTTATGTTATTATAATCATTTCAAAGCTATGTTGTTTTCTCTAATCGGATTTGAACTCAGTATTGTACTAATTAATTCTGAACTCAATTGTAGTATTATGTCCGCTGCAAACTCCGTGTATGTGATGTGTATTTGCTTAATCTATTATGGTCTTAGTTGTGATGTGGATTTATCGAGGTCCTTCGTGACACTCGGTGGACTACCAGGTTTATATAAGTGAAAGTGTGTGCGTGTCAACGTGTTAAGCGGGGATAGCTACGCTTGAACTTGTATAAATTGGGAGTTTCTGTCACACACTACACCGAGGGAGACGAGCTCATCGACTCCATGCTCGACGTCGTGCGCAAGGAGGTAGAGAACTGTGACTGCCTGCAAGGCTTCCAGGTGTGCCACTCCCTCGATGGCGGCACCAGCTCCGGCATGGGCATGCTCCTCATCTCCAAGATCCACGAGGAGTACCCGGACCAGATGATCCTCACCTTCTCTGTCTTCCCCTCGCCCAAGGTCTCCAACACCATAGTGGGGCCCTATAACACCCCGCTGTCCATGCACCAGCTCATGGAGAACGCTAACAAGTGCATGGTACTCGACAATGAGGTGCTCTATGACATCTGCTTCTGCATGCTAAAGCTCACGACGTCGAGCTTCGGTGACCTCAACCACCTCATCTCCGCCACCATGAGCGGTGTCACCTGCTGCCTCCACTTCTCGGGCCAGCTCAACTCCGACCTCCGCAAGCTAGCCGTCAACCTCATCCCGTTCCCACGCCTGCACTTCTTCATGATTGGCTTCACGTCGCTCTCTCAGGGCTCCCAACAGTACCGTGCCCTAACGGTGTCAGAGTTCACCTAGTAGATGTGGGATGCGAAGAACATGATGTGCGCCGCTCACCCACGCCATGACCGCTACCTCATGGCGTCCGCAATGTTCCACGGCAAGATGAGCACCAAAGAGGTGGACAAGCATATGCTCAACGTGTAGAACAAGAACTCCTCCTACTTCGTGGAGTGGATACACAACAATGTCAAGTCCACCATGTGCGACATTCTACCCACGGGCCTCAAGATGGCCTCCACCTTCATCGGCAACTCCACCTCCATCCCGGAGATGATCCAGCACGTCAACAAATAGTTCACCCCCAACTCGAAGGGCTGCACGGGCACCGCTGCGTGGGATGCCGGCTGTGGCCGCGTCAAACGCCTTGAACAGTGGGTCGTAGATGTTTTTTTTTATTTTTAACACTTTTTAAAACTATTTCCAAATTTGACACTGTTTATTTTTTATTTTCAATTCTAACACTTTTGGCCACGCCTATTGCCATGGCGTGGCCAAACCACGCTGACGTGCCATGCATGGTGGCGTGACAGAGGTGGTGACATGGCGATGATCTAGGCGCTGACCGGTGACATGGTAGGAGCTGCACCATAGAATTTGGCGTGGCAGTAAGCTCTGTCGTTGTGTAAGGATCTGGTGGAACATACTGCTATGCTTCGCTAATTCTAGCCCATGAATCATAGGGGGTATCATCCTTTGGCAAATCTATGACTAGTCTTCCCTGAGCTGGCATAGCATGAAGTACCTCAGTTGGTACAGGTAATGGCATAGCATGAACCGGTACTGGCATAACATCAACCGGTGTTGGCATAGCACCTTTGCCTCCTTGGTCATCGTTCGAATCATCTGAATCACTGCTAACTACATCACCGATCCTGTCCTCCTCCTCCTCCTCCTCTTCCCGCTCGAACTCGTTAGCATCGAAGTCATTGCTTATACAGCCTACTGAGAACCGCCTTAATCATCGACTGCCATTGGAGTTCAATGAAGTTGCTCTGCATCAACTGACTGTCCAAATCCATGTTACCCTGAGTTGCTTCCCCTTTGACCCCCAATTCTTGTTCATTGCCTCCAACACCATCAATGGACGGCCTATACTAGAAACCCTACATCATGTACCCATTCTCCACCACCACCTCAGCCATAGGCACATTGGATCACCCTATTGTAGCGGGACTAGTGAATATGGTCACGCAAGGGCATCAGGACAAAGTTTGCCCTAATATTCTCACTATCAAACCTCCCCTTCAATGTGAAATTACCGCCAAACTTTGCATTCAAATAGACACAAAGGTCGTTGAAGCTAGGAGGTTCATCAAACCATTCCAATTCTTCTTCCATATCCTCAAACATACCATCTTCTTTCATAACACTTCCTCCGTAAAATACTCGAACACAACAATCCATCTACAAAAGCATTTGAGGAAACTTCATCAAGTCATCGAAATCGTCGTATCACGTACAACTAAGTACCAACACTAATAAATACTATATATATACTAACTACCATTACTACTACAAACTAACTAAACACTAACTACCTAACCAAACACTAAACCCAAAATCCTAACTAACAAAAATCTAAACCCTAACTACCTAACCAAACCCTAAACCCAAAATCCTAACTAATAAAAACCTAAACCCTAACTACCTAACCAAAACCTAAACCCAAAATCCTAACTAACAAAAACATAAACCCTAATCAATTGATTCAAAAATTAATCACCAATATCACAAAATTGAGGGTCTTGGAGGGGGGAAATACCTTAGCAACGACGAGGAGACCTTCTGGGGGTCAACCTAGACGACAGAGAGGGTCGCAGGTGGCCTCGCCAGCAGCGGCGGTGCCCCTCCGGCTAGCAACCAAGGGAGGGGGTGTGGGCGACCTAGGGGTTGACCCCTAGCCTCTGAACAGGGAATGGGGGCGTGGCCTATCGGGCCCCTAACTTAGGGTCCTCTGTGCATCATGTATTAGTCCCTAGATCAGTAGCTGATAAGCACAACTCGAACAAGATTGATATCAAAAACCATACTTTTATTGCTAATGGGGAAAACATGTTACATGGTTTGGGTTTACATAGCTTGGGCCAATGGCCTTCTATCGTATATCAGAGTTCTAAGACAGCGGTCCTATGTCAACGTGGCTCCATTCCTACAGGCAACTTGGAGTGTGGACATAACCCTAGACTTATTCCTTAAGCATATTCCAATATCCCAATCGTCGTGATCCTAGCGTAGCTCTCTCGTATGGCTCCGTCTTCGAGTATACTCTGGGTATCCTATCCTTGCGTAGCCCTAGAAGTTCCATCTGAGTATGTACTCCTGTAGCTTCTTGCCTAAAAACAAAGAATGGAGGGGGGGTTGAGTACATAAAGTACACAGCAAGCCCTAAACTTTGGGTGGAGGTGAGGTGGAAGGGGAAGGCTATATGGTGGAGGTGGATTATGGTGGTTGGAGTAGTTGAGGTGGATAGGTAAGGGTAGGAGTAGTAAGGTGAAGTAGTTATAATTATAAGTTGGACCTGGCAGAGTATTACCATTCTCACCAGTTCCCGTTGTTCATTATAATTACCAGTTTAGTAAAATATGTCTTACCAGATTATCATAGTTGTACAAGTCTAATCATAGTATCCCGTCCTAGCATTTGCCCATTCCAAGGACGTAGCTATTCGAATAGATTTAATAAACCCTACAGAGGTGTACAAATTTCCCCACAAGATATACATAGTCCGACACCATCGTCATGGCTTAGACAGGTCTAACGAGATCCCGTACATGAATGGGTGCGACCTTAGATATCCATATAACTCTACTATGGCTTCTCAGGGGTTGGAAACACAAAAATCGGGAAGATACCAAATTCCCCCAACATGATGATACCAAATCATCACAAAAGAAAAACATGGCTCGAACATGGCCAAGAAAATCAAGGGCTCGAACGCAGCCAAAAACCAAAAAGCTTAACGTGGAAGATCACATAGCATCCACGCCAACCAGACCATGGAAGAAAACCTATCCCCGTGTTGGTTCCTGATATTCCGCTGCCTACACCAGCCTCCTAGTAGAAATTATACTTCTATCTAACGAGGTGTGAGATCAAGTCTACCCATATAGACATGTGGTTGTACATAATATCTCACTAGGTGAGAGGGACTACGAGCCGGTCCTTATGTGACCGAGACGAGTATCTCCCACAAGAATCCTCTCCAGGCATTCCTGCAAGGCAATTTATCTCCATAAATTACCTCCACTTGCCCTATGTCGTGGTTTAGTCGAATTTTACCAGTTTAAGTTCCATAGTAATTATTCTCAAGTTCATAATGCTCATATCATATCAAGGTAACCATTACCTTATCATATTATCATAATCAAGTTTATAATTATAGTTTCATTAATTCATGAGGGATTTCAAGTAATATAGGTTGGGTTATTATTTAGTGGTAATGGATAGTGGAAGGTTTATGGTGGAGGCTAGCAATATGTGGTGGCGGTGGAGGGGAGGTGGTTAAGGGATGGCATGTAGTTTAGAGGGAGGGGTTAGGTGGGTGTTAGGACTTGACTCCATTCGTTGACGATCATATCCTTATTCTGATTCTCGTGTCTCCTGTTCCTATCTTCTGGACTCAATCGGGTTCTCTCACGTTTTCTATCCTACGCGGACTAGCATCGACAAATAAGGAAAATAACAAGCAAAGCATGTAAAACAAGCATAAGCAATCAACGATCCTAGATGGGTTGGCCCTATTGGGTGATGGGTTATTATCTAGGTTATCATTATTATTTATGTCAATTTAAAGTAAGGTTTGGATGGAGGTATTCCATCCATAAGGTAGGGCTTCTACGTGTTAGTTTAAGGTGGTGGATTGGTCTTGATGGAAAACCAGACCACATTATTAGGATTCTCTATTATGTGAACCTGAAAGAGAAAGTCTGACCAAGTCATCATAGATGACCTGTCTGACCTCTACAGGTTCACCGGGGTTAGTGAGACATACGCACATGCATATGTATGTGCCTAGGATTAATTAGGTGGGCTAGGTTATGGCTAGGGTTAGCGACATATACGTTCATACATATGTATATACCCATGATTAATTAACAATGGATAACTAGATTGCTAGGGTTAACCATACATAGGCATATACCCGGGTATCGGGCATATCCATGTATGTATAGATGTCTATTCATTTTAGGTAATTGGGTACGGATATATTTGAGTATGTGTCATGGTGTATACACATACGCGAATATACATGGGATTAACTACTACTATGGTGGTGGCTACTACTATAACTAGCATTATAAAAAGGAAAAGCAATCAAACTAGAATTTAAATGGGCACCAAAATTTAGGGAAAATGGTATGATTATGTAGGGTTTTATTTTAGGAGTTTTATGGTGAAAGAATTACGTGATTCGGAACTAAGACGACGAAGATATAAATTATTAAAGTTTACCGACTAATCGCGAATGGAGAGGAACAAGGAAATTATTTCTACAATTTTAGCTACTGAAAATGGATGGCAAATATCTAGGTATGATCTAGGATGACTCTAGTTTATTTTTGAATTTTTTGGAAAGTTTTCTATAACTAATAAGCTTACCTTTCATTCTACTGTGTACGTTTCCTGGGTACCCCTAGCAATTTCCTCCCGGTATAGAGACTAACGCGTGGGTAAGGCTGGTGGGGCTCGGTCAGCAACACCATTCCATGGACCAAACTGTACTGTGCTGTGCACCTCTTGCTCCTTTCTCTGGTTTGTGTGAACCGTGTGTACAGAAAGGAGGAGAGGTAAGCAGAGCCAATGACGTGCGGGGTCCATGGGTGAAGTGGCCGGCTCCTATTGGTTGCTGTGATGTGGTTGGGAGCTGGGCATTGGGTGCCTTCGGTGCTGCCTGATCCCTTCCCATCCATGTGCTCCAACTTTAGAGAGAGAAAAAGAGAGAACAGAGAGCAGAAGAAAGTGAGAGAGGGAGACAGCAAGGAGAAAGCAAGCAGGGTGAGGCGGAAGTGCATGGC